GTATGTTTTTTTATGTCTAGCGTTGATAAAGAATACAGGAGTAGCCGAAATATTCGTTTCAATAAATTTTATTCTAAAGTCAACATTTCCCTCCCTTTCCTCTCCCACAACTTATTTTGAATTCCTGGATTAGCCACAGTAGATCTCCCGGAAATGACCACTTCCAAATTGGGACCCCTTCTTCTTTTTCCAGATTAGTGCAAACTTCAGTTTTGAAGGCTATAGCACTTTGGTGGTATGTGGTGGTGCGAGTGAGATTAATTTTTGCCAAGGGCCCCCTTAAAAACGTCAATAGTTGGTGCTTTGACAGTAGATTCTGCAATTATGTTCCATTCCCTTGATGTCCGAGGAAAGAATGACCCTGCTTCAGTCTATTTCTAATTTTAATTATAAGAAGCAAGCCATTGTAAAGGTGTTTGTCACCTGTTGAACGGTTCTACACCGGCTTAGCCTAACTAAGCCCCTAGATATATCGTAGGCCTCTAGGGCCCGTGCCTAGATGCTGGCTATAGGCTAGGTCTAGTCTCCTAGCCAAGCTCCTAGACCTAGGCCTAGGCCTAGCCTAGTTTAGGAAGGCCTTTTTTACATCAGGAGGGCCTAGCCTCTCTAGGCTTAGGCTTAAACAAAGTTTTCATTTGTATACGTTTCGTTTTTGTCTTCGAAACACATTGTAACTTGTTTGTAAATGTAGTAAAAAAATTGCTTGTGATTTTAAAAATAATTATTTTGCTCACTTCTTGCTAGGTAGGCTTCCACTTCCGCCTCAAAAAGTAAGACCTCATTTCACGCAATAATAGTATGGAACGCCTTTGGTGTTACTGTTACAATAGACCATTTATTCAACGGCGGCGGAGCATTTTTGTGTGTGGGAGGGGAATTTCATGCGATCCTGTATGCGAGCGAAGCGAGCATCTAGGCTGGGGTTGGTGGGCTTGGGCCACCAAGGACCCCTGGCGGAGGCCAGGGGCGGGGCCCCCTGGAAGCGGTGGATTTTGACGAAGTTTGGTGAATTTTATTATATTTTATAACTACTGTAATGACTTTATAATTGTTGTAGTTTCCAGCATGGCGGATCCAATTGGAAATAGGCCTAATGGAGGCCCAGTGTGTGTGGTTGGGGGGTGGGGGAGGGGGTACTTTCACAAAGAGAATCTACCATCAGCCCCATCATCCCTCCATGCTTGGGGCTGAGGTAATAAAATTTGTGATTATGACACCTCTATATTGCCGGAAATTGCACTTCCAGACATAATAATTCAAACTTTTCTTAATATCTCCATTTAAAAAAAAACTGAAAAATTTGGGGGTTGGGGGCGGGCCGCTGGGCCTTCTTGAATCCGCCACTGGGTACTTTCGCAGATGGAGAATCTACAGTACCACTACCTCAGAGCCCATCATGCTTGGGGCTGAGGTAAGAACATTTGAGATTATGGCACATCTACCGGGCCGGAAATTGCACTCTCAGTCTCAGACTTAACATTTTGGCCCCACCCCCCCCCCCCCCCCCTTGAATCCGCCTATGACAATGTATAACCCCTCGTGCCTGGGGGAACAGGCGCTCCGCTCCGTCCGCGCCCGAGCGTGAGGCCACTGATTTTAGCATTGTTTTGTAATTTTTATATATCCTATTGATAATTTGATTATCCCGAATAGTTTTTTTGCAATAAAAATTTACTTGTACCTTGTAAATTTTAAGAAAAAGTCTCTTCAAACAATGAATTCTGGGCTCCTTGATAAAATACGTAATTACACGCCGAAAAGTAATACTAAAGCATACTAAAGCTAAGATTACATTTATGATACAGCTTTGGAATTCGATAAACTCAAGTCATTACACAGTTTATTAAGAAACGTCACATGGATGGCACATGATCTAATTGTCTGTATTCACGAATACAAAGAACTGGAGCCTGTGAAGTATCTATGGTTAATCCAATTTCATAGGGCAGACTCTTTTCTGCATGGTTTGCACCTGACGGTTTTTACCGGGCTGACCAAGTCGTCGTACCGGGATGAGTAATAAGAGAAAGGAAAGAGGGGAGAGGGAGGGAAAGAGAAAGAAGGGAAAACGAAAAGGAAAGAAGATAAGAATAAAAAGGAAGATATCACCCTGCAACCCCTTCTTCAAAAAGTGTCCATAGCCCCTATGATCTATGCAACCAGATATTCTCCGCAGTGGGCGTAACCACCGGGGGACAAGGGGAAATATCCATCTGTGGAAAATCTTTCCCCACCCCTTGAAGATGCCCTTTTCACCCCCTGTAAGTGCCTAAAAAATCTAAAATTTTGCGCACTTCACGCGCATTTCTTGTTAAAGTAGTCTGATTTCCTTTAAAAATTGCACATTTTAGGGAGTTTTTATCAATTCCGACGAAATTAGAATTAAAAACACATTTTTTTTTTAAGGTTTTAGGGTTAGCCTTCTAAGTTATTTAAACACATAGACCTAATAGTCCCAAACTCAAGAAAGAAAAATTAAGATAGATCGTTTAACTTGGTTTAACCTAAAAGAATGGCCTAATTGTGTAATGATGGTGAAAGAATATGTTTGTAATAAATAAAGCCATAATGAAAATGCTTATATTCAGTTTCAAAAAAACGTGTGTGGCCATAAAACATTAGCCCTCAACATTAAACTCAAAACAAAATTTTCGCGCGCATTTTTTAGGGTGAGAACTTGTGCTTGTCCTCTTATGCCTTCTAAGTTTATTGAACACATAATAGTCCCAACTCAAATAGAAAAAACATTTGGGATAGATCGTTTTACCTAAAAGAAGGGTCTCAATGTGTATTGATACTAAAAGTATCTTGGTGTTACTATATCAAGATGTTTAAATTGTCACAAACATATTGAACATGTAATTAAAAAAACGCAACAAACTTATTGGTTATATCATGGAGGAATACGTTTCCTCCATGGTTATATAAATTCAATTATTGGTGCCACCCCTGGATATAAATGGTGTATAAATTATTATTATTTTTATTAATGAAAAATCTGTTTTGTCATAATAACAGGTCAATTTATAAAGCGCAAATAAACATGGTCTCTATGCACCAAATAATAATAATAATAATAATAATAATAATAATAATAATAAATAATAATAATAATAATAACAACAACAACAATAATAATAATAATATTAATAATAACAATAATAATAATAATAATACTCTCTGTCTAGTATGGCAGTTGTTGTATGGCAGTTTCACCTACATAATTGCTGTTAGGCCTATATCTAGTTCAAAATAGTAGTTTGCTGCGATTTTGTACGGCGGTACGGCAAAATTCGGCAAACCGGGTTTCGGCCAACTGGGATTTCATGTTTTCGGTAAACTGGATTCGTCAAACTGTGTTTCGGCAAAGTGGCCTAAACTCGGCAAACTTGGTTTTGGCAAACTGGATTTCGACGATCTGGGCGGATACCTCCGTTGGATCATTACTTTTGAAGAAGGTCGTTCACGAGTTGGATGCATTTGAACGCAGTATTAAACCTGATGCGTTAATACAGTAGAGGGTTGCCGTGGACTTTTTGACGGCCAGATTCCTCAAATCTGGCCGTATAAAAATTTGCCTGGCCGTAACGTTTAAAAAGTCACGGCCAAACTATATTTGGCTGAATTTTTGAAAGGTTTACGTTTTTTTTTCAATATAGGCCGAATATAACGTAGACTTGTTTTGGATATGTTGTTTTTGTTAGCTTAAATTCTATATTTGATTCTAATCATGTACCTTTGTACTTGCACTAAACACTTAATCTATGTTCCCCCTTTAGCCGATTTGACGTAAGAGAGTTTATTTTAAAAATAACAGTTCCATTTAATAATGTAAATTTTTCAGATGAAATATATATTTTTTATGAAGTATCCTCGTTTAAGCTTTATGAAGACAGTTCAATGCAAGTTTGTACCATATATTGTGTCTTTGTATATGTTCCATCCTAGTGGAGGTTCTATCTCTTGGATTTCTTTTGAATATAAATTAAATACTGTACTTTAATTAAATTATTGCCCACTTGAATTATACTGAGCCCTACTGCAGTGTTCTTTATATAGAGCGCCATATATAAATACTCGATATGATCATTCGGGTCCGATGGCACCTCCAATTTTAAGCAAGTGTTGCAGAGACTTCTTCGAAGTTACTCTAGAGTTAGGTTGCATATGAGAATGAAGAAGATAATTCTGATAGCAACATTGATTTATTGCTTTAAGTACTGCGACAATAACATTCAGAGTTCAGATAAAAAGTATTTATTAAAATTTTCATAGGTTTGTTTGAACGGCAGTTTGTGTTATCTATGTCACTTAATTCATTCTAATTAAAGAGAGCCACGGATTTGCCAATAACGGGCCCTTAAATTTTTTGCTATAGATCGACTACAATGTACCTTAATATTTAATTCATTTAAATCAAATTTAGATCAAACTTGATAATGTGATTTTAAATAGCGGATTTAGGGGGGTGAAAAAAATACAGAAAAATTGATCGCCCAAACGCATCATGTTAATATTCGTGCGATTAGAAAACAAAAATTTCCTCTAAGATATGATGTTATCTTGATCGGACCCACTTTCGCCCCCTCCCCTTTTTCGGCCCCGGCTCCTCCCCTTTCGGCCATCTCTGGATTCGCCCCTGAATTGGCCTACATGCCAGCAACTAAAGAACATATAGGCTATTTAATAATTATTTAATAATATGATTGGGCTAGCTGGGCATGTATTTTATGGTGATAGATTAATCAAAAGAAAAACAGTGTATATCATTTGAATTCCTTCAATTTCAAACGAATGACCGCTGATTTTCGTGTAATTTTTGTAGTATTTCAAATGAATATGTACCCATGTACCCCCTGTTGTCTTCGGATTAAAATCTGGCCGAGTTTTGGCCATATCCTAAAAAAGTTTGGCCGAATTTGGCCGTGAGATGGCGTGTGTATGTTTGGGCGCGAAGCCGTCGACTATCTGGCAACCCTGGTACAGTACGTTTTCGCCAAGGTTTTCGCCTATTCGCTTCTTCACTAGAGAAGTAGTAGGTAAGGTCTAAGTTTAGCCCTAGGCCCAGCTGTTTTTCGCCGCTAAGTACTACTGCCTCGGCCTATGTCTAATCACTGATTACTGTACTTGTTTGGTGAGTAATTTGTTTATTTCTGAGTCCAATTGCTTGACAGAAGTTATTAGGTGTGATTGGTTATCTTGTTTGTGTTGAAAGTGGGCCCTCATTATATATAGGCCTACCTTGTTTGAGGTTTTTTTTTGTAGGAAGTAATGGACGGATCGGCTACACGGGAGCAGGTCAACTTGGCCCCAAGTCAAAGTCAACAATAACAATATAAAAACGTATAATAGAACTAATAATGACAATAACGATATGATGACAATAATAATGATATAATCATATATATATATATATTATATATATAAATATATATAGACATATATATTAATATATATATATATATATGAATATATTTAAATATATATATAAGCCTATATGTATATCAATTATGATATAATAGATAAAATCGATACCGTCTTTGTGTATAAAAAACAATAAGAAATATATCATATGTATGGACTTTAGAAACTCGGCCCCAAGTAGTCAAATCGGCCCCAATTTACTGTGTATTTGCTATGAGCAATAATACTTATTTATAGGCATATTATATGTACATTAAATATATATATATATATATATTTGTTGAAATTAAAAGAAAAACAAAGCAACGACATAAAACACTTTAGTTTTGACTTAAATATTTAGTAAATACACAGTAATTTGGGGCTGATTTAACTTGGGGCCGAGTTGACTAGTTTGGGCCGAGTTGACTAGTTGGGGCCGAGTTGACTTGTGGCCGAGTTGACTTGGGGCCGAGTTGACTTGGGGCCGAGTTGACTTGGGGCCGAGTTGACTGGAGCTGAGGTGACTTGGGGCCGAGTTGACTCGAATTCGGCTACACATCCCCATCCATATAATCGGACCTCTAGCTCTCTGTCTACCTAGTATAGCTTGCAGACTCACATGCTCTTACGAAAAAAAAGTCTTAAATTCTGCCTTGCATTTAGCGGCCTAGACATAGCCTAAGCAGAAGTGTAGAATAGACCTAGTAGTAGTACCGAAATCATATGAAAAAATTGTTATATAAATTTATTCAAAAACTTAAATGACTCAATTTCTCTATTATGAAAATTTTGTGTCATGATAAAATTTACAAAGAAACCAAATTTGTTTCGAACAATATATAACAATCATTCCCTTTACAAAAAATAGCAATCAAATGAAACAGACCAGACCAGAATATATTCTCCACACCAAACTTTTGCTAAAAAGGCCTTGACCTAAATCTTAATATTATAACCAATATATTATGTGCCAGTAATTATGATTCTGCACATCTACTTTCCTAGTGATTTTCTGTGCATGTTTGAGCTAGTATTTGAGATCATCCTTGCAATTAACATACTTCACAGTATCTGAGACAGGCCTTTAAGGAAAATTTAAGGAACATTTTTGACCATTTTAAGTGATTTAAGGTAATGTCTCAGCTGCTCGGTGATGCCAAGAAAGATTAATCAAAGGCTAAGTATGTGTGACTGGACGCAGGGTTCCCAGAAGCACAACTCTGAGTCAGAAGTGGAACGTGAAATTCCGATATGGTTTCGTAGTCAGATTTGCGAGAAAAACTTCAGCTACCCGTATTTCTCGACTGAGACGTCAATGGGAGCTGTAATTTTTTGGGCAGGGAGATGGTGCTACCCTTAATTTGTATTAAGGGAATTTACGCCCACAAATCTTGTAGTTATTAATATTTTGGTTATAATAGAAAAATTTTTATTTTTTGGTGACGTCACACTCACACTGTAGTTAGCATGAATACGTCATAAGCTAGATTATGTCACCTTTTCCTGGTAAGGCAAACTTTTCTGGTGTGCTTCAATAAATCAATAAACAAACACCACTGCTTTGCACATGATTGCCTTGCCTAGCTAGGGCTACAAGAGCCGCATAGTTAGCATATAATACTTAAACAAGGTACGTCTGCAACTGAATTATTCTTAAGCCCTAGTTAATTTTTTTTCTTATTTTACTTTATTTCTTTCGAAAGTGTACTTTCTATCACATATGATTGCACCATCTACTTAGGCTTAGGCCTAGTCTTATTATTTCTCATCATCCCCCGCTATACACAGTACATCAGTAGGCTAGCGCCCCCCTCCCCCGCTACAATACAGATGTTTGCTAGGCAATAGAACATGATTGCACCTTCCTTCCCTGGTGTTCATGTAACATTTGCATATTGTTAGCTAACCAGCTGCGTCTATTTCTTTTACTCTCTTGGAAAGAGGGAACTTCGAAATAATTGTCTCCATATCTTCGCTGATTAATCTCCGTAATTTAGCTTACAATGCATGGAGTGGGCACTTAAAATGTACAATATTCATTTCACTACCCGACAAACCCCGACCTTTATTTATGCATTACATAAATAGTTTCATCTTGCTGTACTCCAACATCACTGGCGCATGGTAACAACCAACCGGCAGACCATTTCCGGTCACATATTACTCTCCATAACGCAGCACCCCCTAGTTCCGTGACCTCTGGATACAAAGGTTTGTTTCAAATAGTGTTAGGCCATTTAAAATTTTACATAAGGAAATTAACAAAAGTTAGGTTTTATGGGATTTTTATTGATTACAGTATAAGTCTTGTTTGGTTTAAATATTTTATGCTTAATTTTTTTGCACTTGTGTAGTTCTGTGTGTGGTTCTGTTTCTGCAAAGTAAATGGCAATAAAGTATGATACGCTTTAAACGTAAAAATAGCAGTTTTCAATTCAATTGTTTGTTTGTGTTTTAGTAATTTCAATTTGCTGAACAGGTGATCAGTATGATCTAAAAATCAAGCTTTACTTATAATTCTAATTACTGTATTTTTATTTGTTTTAAAACTAAAGGAACTAAATTTGTTTTGTATATATATATATATATTCCCCCATACTTCTGTACAATAATTTAAATAAGGGAGAAATTAGGAGCAATATAACGTATGAAGTGTACGATTATTAAAAATTTGACTGGCTTTACAGATTATTGCTGTACTTTTAGATAGTTTAGATACACTTAAAATATGCTTTTTCCAGGTCAATTTGTGGTCAGTTAAACTCCAAGCAAGGTACATGCTCTCTCAATGTTTCTATTGTTTTTCTTTTACTAATGGTGACATCAAATTGTTTATGGCTATTTGTAAATAATATAAAATTGTTTAAATGATAGCCTTAGGTACCGTAGATCCAGCAGTTTAAAATAGAGTAGGTGCACGCAAGGAGAGACATTATGACAGATGGAAGGTCCAGACCACCTCAGTCCCAACATGATTAAATTGGTTTGCGGCTGAAATGGATCTATATACCGCCTGGAATTTAGAAATAACCCTCTCAGACTTAAATTTTTCGCACTTAAGCCTAATATGTACAATAGGCCAGCTCATGTGGCCTCTACTGCATTCTGTAATTTTTTGTTTTGTTTATATTACACAGACTAATAGATTACCAAAAGTATCAGCACCAACTTCCAACCTCACTCTGCTTACATGGAAACCTGTGGAACATTTATGTGTGTCATGCAAACATGCATTGATTGTCTGTGCTGTTTGAGGGGATGATATCATTACATTATACACAGAACTTTTGCTTCAAGACACGAGTTATAACTAGTCGGTATCATGAACGTTTAGTACCATACATTGTTGGTAAAAGCAACCCTTATCAAGATGTACTGTCTGCAGTGGCTTCTACCAGTCTTACTGTTGCCATTGCCCAAAACTGGCCTGGGATTTGTCAATGTTGGTCTATTGCATAGCCATGCAATGTTCATTATGTTGTACCTGACAAGTTTCTTCTTAGAGCGACGACCGTGTACGATATGCAGTTTTGTATTCGCAGTGGCGTTGGTTCTCATCTGTTACAATTGTTTAGGAAACTGTCTATTCTTCTGTTGTAATGAGAGTGACAGTTGTGCTGCAATGGAGGATCTATGACAGCATTGTTGATGACAAAGCCAAAGTATAATCTTAGCATGACAACAATCCAAAATATAGCTTACTTGCACAATGCACGTAGGCATGGTGGCAAGGATGTTTACATTTTTATCAGAAAGTAGGATGAATCCCAGCTTGATTTATCACTTGGGTGACCTCCATGTTAAAATTGATGAGGAAGTACTGTAGAGGTCATAATGAAGCCATGCTAATAGGAATTGGAAGGGATGGTATCCCAAGCTACATATTGTAACTCTATTCATAAATAGTATGATTATTCTTGTTAACACTAGGCTGTAAATTATAATTTTTTTAAAGTAAAATATTATAACTTCAATCTTCAAATTAAATTTAAAATCCAAAATCATCCCTGCCTGGTAAGGTTCTGGGTAAAAAACCAAAGACAAGCACAGTGACCAGCCTCCATCTGCTAATTGAATACCTTTCTACTGCAACCTAAAAAGTTGCAACAAAGTCAATCCATTGAGCTGGTCCTTAATCTCTCTCCACACTATGACAAATATGTGTGATGTGCTCATAGGGTATGATGTCATCATAGTACATCCAAATACGGGGATACAACATTTATTTATCACATACAATTTGATAGTGTGGATAAAGCTTTACTATTTTAAAGAGTTTCTGAATTTACACTTCACTGAGCCTGTAAAATTCTTGGTTAACCAACAGAGGGCGCTATATTATTGTGTTTACACTGCACATTTAGACTTTTTTTTTATCATTGATTTGACTATTAAAATTAGAATTAAATATAAAACTATGTGCAACATTAATATCTCTTTAGTAAACATTCCAGTGTATTGATGATATCATGTACAGTATGTAATTAATATTTTTAAAATAAAGAGTTTTAGACAAAATCCATGATGAAGAAGATAATTAGTACCCTGCAGTAAAGAAAAGCACTGTACTGTAATTTATTAAAATGATGTATTGCCTTCTGAAAAATAACAAAAAAAATCGTCTTGTGAACTTAACTTGTTAATTTTGAATACACATAAAAATTACCAACTTTAATTCCTTCACATCCAAACAGCAAGTACAGTACACTCACAACGTACAGGATGGAATGATGCTTTATCAATCAAGTTGTTTTTGGTCGTAAGAAAAAAAAGGTCCTGCTGTGACAGGAATTGAACCTAGGACTCTGAAATTAAAAGGCAAGCATCTTAACCACTAAGCTATTTAACTGTACTTCCCCTTTTTTATCATAAAAGATAAAAAAATTTTTAAGCCTCTGATTGGAAATGTTTCTATGATTTTAAGGATACTTATGGATAAATATTTCTATTAAATTGTAATTTCTTAAAGTAACTTCAAAATAGTAAGTAAGTTAATTTCAAAATTGTTCTTTATTTCTTTGCTATCAGTTGACAATACACCATTAAATCAATACAAAATGGTTTCAGTCTAAAATGATATCAACTTAAGACTGATTATTTTCAAAATATGCCAACAAGGACTCTAAGCATATTATTACCCCGGTCATTTTTATTAAACACATATGGAACACAAACTCAAGCTCCCTGAGGGAGTATTCCATAATTTTGCAGCAGCTACATCAGCGCATTTTGGCATTTAACCCTACGGGGGCTTCGTCCCAGGACCACTTTTGGAACCTTTTAATCAAAGCTCGACCACGCCCACTTTGATTTTACCCCCGGTCGGGGACCTCAGCCCCCTCCGTTGGGCAAATCCTGGTGCCACCCCTGCCAGGTACCCATTTATATTCCTGGGTAAAGAGAAGCAATGCAGATAATGTGCCTTGCCTAAGGCCACAAGTGGAATGCACAGCGAGAGAATTAAAACCCCGACCTCAAGGTTGGGAAACCACACCGTTCCCACTGCTCCAAACCACTTCCACAAAAGGTACTTTCATTTAAGATTGATTCCATACTGTAGGTCTCAGTAAAGAGTGATTTTATTTAGGATTACTGTATTCCCAAATAATGTTGATTTCATAATGTAATTTTCAATCATAACTGTTTCAACTTAAACACTGCTACCTGTACCTAAATCATATATAAGAATCCCAAATCAATTAGTATAGTGGCTTGTATAAATATCAGCTTTCGGATAAAAACTAGAGTGAGAACGTGTTATAAATAATACCTTTCCTACACTCTTTGAATAAATTACACTTAAAGCCAGGCTCCGGAGAGTAAAATATTTTTATGTTGTACAAGTTACTGTACTGATTTTTCTAAAACCCAAAAGGGTGCATTGAAGAAAAACTCAGGAACAGTAAATGAAATACAGATTTTTGAATATTTAAAAACTAAGGAAAAATGGAGGTAACTACCCTTTTTTTCTACTTTTTGGCATATATATATCAGTTTTTTTCCCACCGGAGGCTGGCTTTACATTTCTAGCTAAGAAATTTAGGGATTTTTAAAAGTAAAATGTCTGTAAATCATTAAAAGTTTTGGGGGGTGGGGTGGATTCTGCGACTTACTGAATGTCGATAACTTACCATGTTTGTGGTTTTTTTTAGAGCAATTTAAAATGCTACTGCAAAGATTTTTTTTTTTATCTTAAAAAAAGAAAAGACTGTCTGTCTGATAATTATTTCAAAGAATAAGGAGCTTGGCGCCATGGGCCGACTGTGCCATTTTTATTGTGAGGGGTGTACTTTTTTGGGGGAAAATAGATAATCAGTCAGTTTATCAAGGTAAATATCCACTCAGACTAACATCACCCTTGATTCGTGTAATTTATTATGTGAAATGGGCCATGAAATGAAAGAAACTATTGAATTTTTGGGTTGCAGTACATCTTTAAGATTGATTTCATTACTATATTTTATTTTGCAATTTGAGATTGGTTCAATTTAAGATAGTTTCCATATATGGATTGATCCATTTAAAGTTCTATCCTTGCTATTAATGTTTATTGGTATGCAAATACATACCTGTGATTTGCCAATGTATGGGTGTAATATGACATCATCATTCCCATCATGAATGTGATATGACATCATTCCCATATGTATGTGATATTACATCATCATGTCTATATATACATGTGATATGACATCATCATTCCCATAATGAATGTGATATGACATCATTCCAATATGTATGTGATATGACATCATCATTACCATAATGGATGTGATATGACATCATCATGCCTAAACATAGGAAATTCACACAAATTTGTCACAAAACATATGATAGAACTTAAGATCTACTTCATGCTATTTTGATATCTTAGTACAGTAATGTACCCAAATGGTTTACTTGCAGTGTTTTATTCTGAAGGAATAAAGATGGTAAAACAAAAAATTTAACAATTTGTTTTATTTACAGTACATTTCTGTTAATGGCAAGACATTTGCTGTGCAAGTTGACTGTAATAAATTAGAGGTTCAATTACTTTTGTCTTGAAATTTACTTACTGGTTTCTCAATTGTAAATTGACTTTGGATATTATTTACAGGTCTCCCTCCAATTATAGACCATTTTTGGGACTGGGGTTTCCATGGTCTTTAGGCTATAGCAGCTTTGTACTCTAATTATAATAATAAAGATATTTGTTAATGTTCGTACCACAGAAAAGCAGTTTTTAATTGGAGGGGTCTGTAATTGGAGGGAGACATGTATAGTAGCCAAGATTTGACTGTCCATAGTTTCATATCAATGTTACTGAAAGTAAGATAAATTTATTTAATAAACTCATTGAACCTTCAATCACTTGATTTTTGGATCATAATACAAATAACTAAATGCCAAAGATATAGCTAAATTTTGAAAATATAGAGTCATACTTTGGAGAATACAACACTCAGAAGCTCATTCCATTTGGCTTGTTTCATGAAAAACTTTCCTCCTCATCCCCAGCCCAAAAATGGTAATATCGGATAGGAAAATTAAAGGTATATATGCAAGGAAGATTTAGACACCAGTTATTTTTCTGCTGGCAAAAATAATATTGAAGCAGACGTAGGCCTAGGCCCTACCTTTTTAATTTACAAGACATTTGAAAAAAAGGAACGACTCCGAACAAATAATCTGCAACCCCTTTATTCAGTGGGTAGTCTGGTTTACCATACTATTATTACAAAAATGAGAAAATACAAAGTAACACAAACACTGAAAGTTTATACAGTATTAATATTCGTGTCCGGATAAACGTTTCCTGGTAAACGTCGTACACAATCTTTTTTTTTAGAACTAATCACGGAGAGAGGGCGCCAGAGATGTAAATAAAACAAGGACACAAGCATGGCCGACGACGTGTCAGAGATCATTGATGAAAACACCTCCAAATTAATACTTGAGCGGTTAAATGCTTTTGGTAAGTTATTGAAGAATTTAAGTACATGGCACATATTTAACGTGTACCATTTAGGCACCCATTGGACAATGTTAGGCCCTCTCTTCAGAAGGTTTACGCTGGTTAGGCCTAGCTAGTCCTCCCTTACATCCCGTCGCCCAAGTAGGCTTCTGGAAGCTAGGCCTAGTCTAGAACCGAAGTTTATGCATGAATACAGTAATGTATAATAGGCCTAGGCCTGGCTGTAGTAGGGATGCTAGAAAATGGTTGATCAACTATAGACTGCACAGCCCCTGGATCATATGTAAACAGGTTAGTTAGTTACTTATAGAATAATATTAGTTGTTAATATTTTATTAGAAGCAGGTTCAATTTCAAATAGGTAAAAAAAATTATGGAATAAAACAGAATAGTAAGTGCAGGAACTATGATAACTTCATAGTGTCAAGAGAGCAAGGTAAATGATTTTCTTTTTTTAAATTACCTAGTGATGATGACAGAATAATCACCCATGTGTTTTGAATAGCCTGCACTTCAGTTCACCCTCCAAATCAGGACCACTTTTGATACTTGACAACCACACCCGTACGCAATTCAGCACAATGACACTGTGATTTCCAGACTGATAGTAAGTCTGGGTGGGGAATATATCCTCCTCGCAAAAATTTGACCTAGAAATCTGTCCACGCATTTCGGAAAATAAGGGCTGATTTCTGCGCATATTTTGCTGAAAATTAGGCTTTGACCAAATATTAATATGTGCAATTTTATGCAGCAATTACGATTCCGCATGCCTATTTTCCTAGTGATTTTCTGAGCAAATTTGAGCTGATTTTTTAGATATCCTCCGTGCAATTAAAAAACTTTACAGTATGGTGCGAGTTATGGGTTATTATCTTAAATTTACCATTTGTAAAAAGTGATCTCAAATTAGAGGTGTCTCTAAATGTAGGGTGGAACTGTATTTATTTTGTTATTAATTTTGCTTTTATTAAATAGGAGATAGTTTCCTTGATGATGATTACAGAGAAAAAAAGAAAACAATCAAAAAGAAAAACACCAATGAAATAAATAAAAATGGAATGAAAAAGAAAAAGGGAAAAGTAAATTCAAGAACAGAGGAAGTAACTGCTGACAGTGACAATGTAAATTCACAGAAAACCTACAAACTGTCGGAATTTGATAAAGAAATTGAAATTTTCAAACAATCAGAAGACTTAAAAAAGGAAGAAATGGAATCAAAACGAAAAAGGAAAAAAAAGAAACCCAAGAAGGAAGTAGAAGTCGTTGTTTTCAATGATCCATCAAAGAGGAAAAAGAAACAGGTAAAGAGTCTCGTGGTGAATCTTGGAGTGAAATGGGAGGGGTGGGGGGCTCGATTATTAAGTGATGGGGCACCATACATGCCAACACTTTGATTTTGATGACCTGACTTAAGCCAATTTTTGTTTTCATGTTTTCTCACATGCTCTCCCAGTTTACAAAGAAAATTGCATACATAGGCTTAGGTGTGCTAAATCTTAAATGTTTTTTATTTGGCAATAAAATACTATGAAAAAACCTCAATATTATTAGGTTACCTTTCGATATTTTGCTCGGCAAAACTACAGCATAGCCTCTTGTGAGTGGTGCAAAGTCACGCTGGCCAAATTGTATATATACAATGGCTGGATCATTATTACAAGGTGTTTAGTCAGTATAGACTATAAGCTTAATAATCATAAGATTTACCCTTATGATACAATAAATAGCTAAAGCTTGTGTTACACCCCCCTCAACCCACATGTAATGGAGAGACCCCCTCACCCACAGGCCAAAACCCTTGGTGGCACTTCGCGCCAAATTCTCCCGTTTTTTTTTATATTCAAATTCTGGCATGTATGGGGCATTAGCTCACTAAATAAGGTGATTTGTGGTGAAGTTTATCTACTTGAGTGTGATTTTTTTTGCTTCACACATATTTATTACATGGTAATGCGAAAGCAAAATGTATGATATGATAATATACAGCCATTAACAAGAGCAATAAAAATTGGCATAACTGCTAACAAAAGGCACAAATAATATATTTACCAAAAGCATCTATGCAGGACAACAAATACATACAACGTATTGGGAGATAAGTTGGCGACAGATGAGAAAAAAGAACAGGGTTTTTTAATTGATCAAAAATGCAATTTTAAATTTACCATCACAGTATTTTAAATTATTATTATTGGTGGTCCTTCCTTTCATGTCTGTTATGCTGTGTTGCATGCATTTTTACGAGTGGGTTTCGTGTGGTTACATAATTTGTGCAATTTATATTACATGATCAGTGTATAGTGTGAATGAAGGTTTCCGAATTTTATAATATATATTGTCATTTTTTTAATGTAGGAAGATGAGAAAATTGTTGATGATTCCAGGGATGGAATTATGAGTTTAAAAAAGGCTAAAATTGATGTTCATCAATTTGGTCTTGGTGGCTTTACATATGAAGATAAAGAAAAGATGGAAATGCAGAGAGCTATTAGACTTGGGGCACGGGTAAGCCATTACTGATCAAATTGCTAAAATTTATAGGTAATTTTTTGGGATCTTCATGGTTTTAAAAAAAAGCTGACCCTTGAATTTTGGGATTTTATGTCGGACTTGGCAACACAAAGTAGTTTTTTTAGCGTACCAATAACATTTCCAGGAGATTCGCTTAATGACATTGGGGGCCCTATATATTCCATGAGGAAAAGTGTAGGTACCAAACGAAGAGCCATGCCCACCTCAGACCCACAGTGTTTGGTGAACACATTTTTCTAGAATAGGCACCTTTAGAACCTGGAAATGGCACTGTCAGACTGCAAAAAAATAATTGGCAACCAAAGTTTAGGCCTAGATTAAACAAAAAGATTTGTTTTTTATTGAATTTGCAGGAGATAAGTGAATTTCCGGGAGATTTTTGCTTGTTTGCGAGAGTGTGGGAGACCATACCGATTTCCGGGAGACTCCCGTTACTTCCGGGAGTCTTGTGAGCCCTGCATTGACATTTTCATCACAGGTAAATAGTACTACTGTAGTAATGTTGATTACCATTTGTTTACATTTTTACAGCCTCCAAAGAAAGAATATATGAATTATAAGGAACTCATTAAAAAGCAGAAAGAGCAACGAGAGGCTGATGCCAAACAGAAGGAAATTGTAAGTAACTTTGATAGTTATTTAGTTATTATTACTTAACAGATTGAAATCTTATGGCATTTACAGATTAAGGAAGAGTTGACTATTATTTACTTTACTTGTACTGTATAATGTAATAACATTTGTAAATTAATATAAATATTCTCTTTCACAGAACCGCAAGTTAGGCATCAAAGTGAGCAAGAAACCAGAGAAGATAGTCCTAAAGTGAGAAAATATTTTATATTCTGCCAGTGGCGTATCTAGGGGTAAAGGGGGTGCTGGTAAAGTGGGAGGGGTCAATGATAAAGTGAGCGCAAACTAGCTGGCAAAAAAAGCTGGTGGGTATGAGTTGACTTTTTAACCAACTTAGCGTAAACCATTTTTTTTTCCTTTAAAATTTACAGTGGATGGGTGAGTCGACTGGGAGTGCAAGCTTTTTTGTGACGCCACCCCCCCCCCATACCCATCTCTAGATACACCAATGTAAGATATCCTGAGTAAGATATCTGTAGATCATCTAAAACTTTTATCTGACTTAAAGTAAATTAATAGACAAGGAAAGACTTTTTTTTATAGCTTGTTCAGCAAAATTATTTTTTTTAAGATACAGTAGTTAGCTCAGGGAAAAAAATAAAAGTTTATTTTCTTATTCATGTGGAGGATAAAATAAAAACATTTTTTTTTTTGGTAAATGTAATCAGTGTAAAATGTTGAGATTGATGAAAACTTTAAATTTATACAGTATAATTAAACAAGAAAAATAGATATCTTATTTTGGGAGATTTAAGGCAGCGACAGGCGAAATAAAAATAAATAATTATTGGCAAGCAGTGGGTTTGCTAAACAAGATATACAACAAGTCTTGCCTAATGGCCTGTCCAGACTATCAAATTTTATTTGACAAAAACATGTAATCTGTATGGTCATCAGGGGCGGATCCAGAAATGTCTTTTTTTTTAACTTGGCTAAAGGAGGGATCGGCTCGGCCCCCAATAAATCCGCTCCTGGTCATGACATCATCACATCATGACTATATATAGGCATACAACAGGTTTTTTGTCAAAGAAAATTTGATAGTAGGGAGCTTTCGATTGCACAAATACAGTAGGATGTGGAATGTAATGACATCACTAAAAGTCATCTGCAACTTTCAATTTAGCCAAATCAATGTATGCAGAGAGTAGGACGGTCACGCACAAGTGATTTCCGTTCTAGAGTTGCATCGTCACGCAAATCAAAAGCTTCCAAATGTCAACAGTTTAACAATTCAGTTTTTAACTTGGTTATTTATTATTGACTTTTCTTTCTATATGCAGGCACAAAGGTTTCTGGGTTGATCCTACACAACAGCGAGGTGTTTATATTGATGGACAAGTTGGCAAATTTAGACGCGGTATGCAGATTGTTTCCAAGAAAGATTTGAAAATAAAATCGAGTAAATCAAAAACATTTAAAAAGACAAGCATTAAGTTATGATGCTTATCCTTCAGACAAGAACAGACAGATGGAAACTAACACATTAGTGCAGTATTGCAAGTTTTAATAATGCATTTTCTTTTAACATTTTTTTCAAGAAAATATAAAATCAAGGTGTTAAAAATTATGTATCACTAATTAGTCTTCATTGGAATTTTTTGGGAAATAAATCTGAAGTAAAGAATTTCTCCTTTTTCATTGTTTTTATTTATAAAAACTGAACAGGAGAGTGAATATCACTCGATTAGAAAAATTCATGATAGAGAAAATCTATCGATATTGATAATAACCTTCAAGCAAGTGCTTTCTCTACACTTACGTTAAACACACAAGTACAATAAATAATTCCATCCTCATCATTACTTAAAACACAGTATAATTTTTTGGGAAATAAATCTGAAGTAAAGATTTTCATTGTTTTTATTTATAAAAACTGAACATGAGTGTGAATATCACTCGATTAGAAATATTTATGATAGACAAAATCTATCGATATTGGTAACCTTGAAGCAAGTGCTTTCTCTACATTTGCGTCAAACACAAATAAGTACAACACATAACTGAAATAAATAAATAATTCCATCCTCATCATTACTTAATTGCACATTATCTGAATACAGGTCTCCCTCTAATTAAAGACCTCTTTTCTTTGGTCCAAATTTATTCCAAAGCTGCTGAAGACCATGAAAACCCTGGTACCAAATGTGGTCTTTAATTGGAGGGAGACCCGTATTATCTAACTTGCTGGCCAATGAACAAATTTGCATTTAAACCTAAAAATGTTGATAATCTGCACCTTTAAAGGGCAACATTCATATACTGGCGCCTTTTGAATGGTCTGTTGTTAGTAACTGGTCAATTTGTATTAAAATATCTACATTGTAATGATTTATTAACATTAAACATTTTGTTGTATTTTATAAAATTTGTTTTTATTAATTTTTGATGTGTAATAGATCAGCTGTGAGTGAATATCTACACAGGCTTGTAATCACCCCTAAACTTTTATGCTAGCTGTAGAATGTTTTAGCTTCACAGAGCTCTTTCCCTGCAGGCTTAACACATAAGAAACACATAACACATAGGAATCTTGGTAACAGGAGTGACACACCCATCACTTTTGCCAACAAGAGGTTTCCCCTAGTAATGGATCCTCCATGAAGAACATTCTAGCTTATGACAGACTTGTCCACACCAAGCAAATTCAGAATCATTGTTCATTGCCGCCTGTTCTGTCTTACAAGTTGTTGACGCTGTCTGTTGAGCTGCCTCTGATGTCGCCCTTTCCTGGACGTGCAACTTCAAGTCACTTGACATGACCCAGCTCACTGTTGTCCTGTCCATCACTGAACACCACCTCTGTGCATCAGTTTTTATGACATTTTCATACTTACTTCACTCGCTCATTAAATATCATGTCAGCATACATTTAAATAATATTTCATTTACTTAGTAACCAATTAATTATTACATAAAGCATGATGGTTGAGACGTTTACTCCTGCTGAGGAAGCAGATGACAGTGGGTAGAAGAAATCATTGGGCAATTCCACTTTCCATGGGGGGATCTCAGCAATGACAGCATCTGGATAAGTGGAGACATCAAGGAATGACACTGAACTTGCTATTTCGTACTTCTGTTCTAGGTTCTCTGTTCCTGGCTGGCAGTAAGGTCCCACACACTGCAAAAGAACAATTTATTTTAGACTGAATGGGCATTTAGCCTGGTTAATATTTAATAGTTATCTTTGTATTTCCAATCAGTTATTGAAATAACCATGGAAAAAAAAAGTTTCATTTCCTCCATAAAATAATACTTAAGCATTCAAGAGATCCCGTGTTTGGAGACATTGACAGGCGGTCATAGTTTTGTATCTGCCACAGCTAATTTTAATAAACATAACAGAGTATAATAAATCAAATAAACACTGCCATGGTATCAAATAAAATTAAGCTTTTATTAAAACAACAGTCATGCTACTAACTATGAATTCTTACCTGGTATTTAAGTGTACCTGCAATGAACGTGTACTTAACTCCAACAATCTTAGCCTGTGGATTGGCTAGTGAGCCAATGTTGGCATACAAGACCTCAATGTTTAGAGAAAGGATCACATTATCACATTGTCCTGGTAAAGTGCTCTAGAAATACAAAGAAAAACAAAAGTTTATGTTTGTGGTCATTTTGTCTGTACATGAAAATGTAATCACCTTTCATGTAGAGTTAGAATTAGCATGCACATTGACCATGTAGTAGTTTGGTGTAATGCCTTTATTGGGACCCCTTTAAAAAAGAGCCAGCCTTTGCTAGCTTCATAAGCTATCCTGGTTCTCCATTTATAATGGCATATATTTGGTTTCTTTACTTGGTTTTCCCCTACTCATTTATTTTTGGCTCAGTATTGTTGTTCTCTTAACACACTTTGTGTAACTGTCACTTGCAATGTCAAACATGTATGTTCTGGAAAATGAATAATGATTATGTATGAATTCAGTACTAATTAAACTTTCTTACTGTGGCTTCACCCTCTGGCTCCTGTATTATGACTGGCACCCAATCTCCCACGATCTCTACATCAGAGTTGCCAAACATTGCAACGTACATGTACTCTGGCATATCCCCTGCAAGGGCCTGTTTAGCCATTGAGCTAATGAGCATACATGCATCACTGATTTCTGCAAATGATACACTGTGAAGGAGAAATCAAATAACAAATACCTCTACACCATTAAGGGGCATGCTACAGAAATGCAGATGAATAAAATTAAGTCAATACTCTGGCCTTTTCTTATCTCTACCTAAACATAAAAAATAAATAAGGCTATTAAATATGGTTGTGTTGCACAATGCCATTTTGAAATTAAGGTGGGTCTGCAATTATTTTATTGTTAATATAATAGGCCTAGGCCTAATTCCTGACTTCATTGGCAACCATAATGCATTTGGCTGGTAAATTAGCAAACACTGGGCTAAAATTTATATTTGGCTTAACGGTAGTTAAGTAACAAAAGTTCAAAACAATATACAAGTACTTTGCGCTGCTCAAAAACAGCTGTTTATAGCATATTTTCAATAGTTTGGCTTTGGCTACAACATAAAGTTTTTTGGGGTTTTTTTTTTGCCTAATGCATTATTAGAGAATTCACACCTTACACAAATGATAACCTAGCAAAAACCTCTGAAAAAAAGAAAAGATATCACCTTACCAAAAATGCAAAATACAATAACTAGTAGTTAGTAGTTGAAGCAAATGTAGTAACTATGTATGTACAGGTAATAGTATTATCTATTTACGTGTGTGCATAATAAATAACTTTACCTTATAAGGCATCCCGAACGAATATCTTCTCCAAATACAACAGGTATTCTTGAATCTGAATCACTCGCACACATCCCACCTGCAGTGCTGGTTACAACTGTCATACGATTGTAACGATCTTCACTTAATGATATGGCATATGTATAGAACACTTTTGTTAAGGTAATAGCCATGATAATAGTAAATGATATGAAGTGAGAGTAGAGATTACTGCTCGAGCAAAATGTAGAAATGAGATCGAGCAAAATGATGCACCTAAACAATGGATGACGATAGCCGGCCAGGTAAAAGGTGAACATAGTTTCACCAGGAAATGATGATGACTGACTAAGAAATAGTGGATGTGGGTCAGGGATAAACAATTAATTAAAAACAATATTGGTAATTAATTTTGTTTGTCACTATAATGTAGATACCGTTGTCTTAAGTGTGAGCAAAATTTTTATAAATACATGTGAGCATACTGGTAGCACTATGATGTTTATTCTTGCACAGAATGCGCGGGCTGTAAGCGGAATGCTATTGTTCACAGCACACAGTAAGAAATTTGCATGTGTGCCAAAAATTATCAAACACAATAGATACTTGTTGTTACCTCCATGTCATCATTTGTAATTCCCTGCACACAAGAGCTACGTGTTTAAGTCAAATGCAATGAATGACATATGGCATAAGCTAATAGCTCTCATGTACAACAGACTAAAGGTCTCATAGATTCTTTAAGTCATCTACCAAGTGACTTTGGTAAAAACTTACAAAATTTAACTGCACACAAAATGTAAACAGCTTCTCAAATATTTATTCATGGCCGTTAGCAAAGATTCTTTTTACTCTCTTGTATGGCGGGCTCAAGGTTTCCATTATTCCCAGATATTAGTATCTGCAGATTTAATGTTGTTTAATCTCCTGGCATTTACAGAGAATAAACCAATTTATCAGCATAACAAGCAATTTAAGCTTCTCATTCAGTCATGAAAACTTTCCAGCCTAAAAACTTGGTGGCACAAATGAAAAAAAAAAAAAATTAAAGACATGTACATCACAAATGGACAGTAAAGGATATTTGGTATACACCTGTTCATCCTCTGGGCTCCCAGTATTTTCTTGGTAAGAGGTGCGGTTACCAGCAACAACAGGCTCGCCAACTATGTAACCTGGATTACCACTCCTCGGCGATGGATTTTCTTCTTCAAGCTAAAAAAGTATTTCATAATTTATGCCATGTATGTTTCTTTACATTTTATTTAATGCTTGAGATAGGATAGCTGAAAAATGTATTCGGACCATTACAGGTATGTAATTTGTTCTGATACTGGTTAAACTAAAAGCAAAAATCACTAATATATTTTATTTTTTTAGTTTAATTAGTTTCGCTGCATTATCCATCAGTGACTACATTCTTAACAAAAAAAAGCATACTATGGATAATATAATAACAACAGCAATATTAATAATAATTTATAATATAAAATAATAATTAAATCAGTGATAATAATAGTAACTAAGAAGTAATCATTTGTTGATTAACGATAATGTCAGCTATGAGCTAAAAGACCTATGTCTTGATGGACGTTAATAACTTAATAATTTTGATCTTTTCAAATGAGCATTAAAATTTTACAATTTAATTTTCAACTTTTTTTCAGAATTCACAACAGAAAGTATATCTTTAATATTTTACCTTCACAAAAGTAGTAGAGAACTTTTGCAAAATTGGAAAACTTGCTGAATTTACAGTGGAAAGAACAAAGAGCACTTCTGCATCAATAATTCCATTCGTCGAATTATGGGTAATCGTATAATGAACTTCTGTGACAACGTTACTGCATGTTCCGTCATTCTGGTCATATATGGGAATATGAACTGATGAGATATTGCACGAAGTCCGGATGTTAAAGAGGTCTACACAATATGCTGGTTCTGCGAATCGAATGGGAACAAATTCTTTCCCCGAGTACAAACTTGGGGTTGTATACGGGATTGTGGTTGTGTTTATTGGAACAGAATTGGTTGTCAAGGGTAAAACTGTTGTCATATTGTAATTTGTTACATTTAAAAACATATCTCGAATATTTGCTGGGGCCTGTAAAAAAGATAAACATAGAAAAAAATAAAATCTACAGAGAGAGGAAAACAACAGAATTTTATGAATTGTATAATAGATTATATTTTCTATACTGATCTATTGTAAACTCTTCATCTCAACCATGTGTTGTATTTTGAGTATTTTTAAACTGATTAAAAAAATAAATAAAAAGAATACAGCATATATGATTACAGTATTAAAAAAAATTACAATCAAATATTACAAAGAAAACATAAAAATTATAAAATAAATAAATGAATGAATACTTACTGCAATTATCTTCTTTTCACTATGGTAGGAATAACTTGACAAAGAAGGTATTGATTCACACTCAGCAGCTAAGTCAGTCACTACCCGCACGCACTCTGTGCTTTCGTCAAATAAAAACCCTGGCAGAGACACAAGTTAGTAAAAATAATACATACCCAGTACAGAGACTCTTAACCTTAACAAACCAAAGACATTCTTATTAAATTTCTTGATGCAAATACTATCTCAATAGCATTGCAATACCCCCTCCTACTTGGGCATAGGATTCAACACTAGTCACAAACCACGAGCTCGGTGGTCAAGTGGTCAAGACACCAGGCTAGTTATCTGAAGGCCATGGGTTTGATTTTCACCCGAATCACTTTTTTCTTTGCAAATATTTGGGAATGTACTGAGCATTCAGTAAAATAACATGTTCTATGCTGCTTATTTTTGTCTGGGATCTCATAAAAAAAGGAGCCAGAATTTGCTAGCTTTATGTGCCATCCTGGTTCTCTATTCACTATGGTGTAATTTTAGCTTTCTACTGTTTCCTGAATTCATGTCACATGAGATAGGGCAAGACATCATTCCTACCATCAGAAAACCAGGACCACAAATGGAAACAAGTTGCCACTTGAACACTGACTATTATTTGGTATTCAGAATATATATACATGAATGTCTACAATTTCATATTTTGAACAGAACATACATTCTGACTATTAATATCCTTTAAGAACTTACTTGCTGGGTTATTATCATTACAGGTATTGGTAACAAGGCCAGCTGGTAGTCCTAAGTAGCCCAAAGCTACTCCTTGGCTGCCTTCAAATAATGTGTAGATTTTGTCTCCAGACTTGAATAAATTTGGATTAAAAAAAACAATATTAACAACCTCATTTCATACATTGCAATAAGGCCAAGTAAAAGGAGAAAGAGGGCACTTTTTTTTCCATTTTGTTTAACTCCGAGATGACAAATTCAAGATGGACGATGGGAAACAGCTACTACTTTCTCACTTTTACCAAGTAGACACATTGAAAGCAACTAAGAGCTAGACACGATTCATACCATATGTATCCCCAACCATGACCGAGAGAGGAATTTTACTGATGTGAGTTAGCCAGATTTTTGTGAGGCACAAAAAACGGATGCACGAGGGGATAAGAAACTAGTAACTTTTTTTATTTGGCCTAATAGAAAAAACATTATTTACTGGTACCTTGATAGAAATATATCTGCTTTCATCTTTTGTTTTTTAACTGTACACTGCTAACTGCTTTTATTATAACCAGCTTTTACTGCTATGTCATTTGATGTACAATAGGTTATTTAAAATCTTACAAGGAACAAGTTGGAATACCTCAAAGTAATTTGTTAAGTCAATCACAGGTTGGTTTAAATAATAGACAACTGTTTAAAAGGTATGAAGATCTCATTAAATAAATAAAAATAAGGTGTATCGCTTAAATTTATTTAATTATATATTTTGTAAGTACTACTTGTTAGTAACAAGAATACCTCAAAGTAATTTGTTAAGTCAATCACAGGTTGGTTTAAATAATAGACAACTGTTTAAAAGGTATGAAGATCTCATTAAATAAATAAAAATAAGGTGTATCGCTTAAATTTATTTAATTATATATTTTGTAAGTACTACTTGTTAGTAACAACATATGACAGTAACAAGACTGCAACAGAAATTGCAGGAATCTGTACACAGTAATGAAAGTTTTGAATAAAGTTTGAATATATATATATATCGAAACCTCTACGAAATGGACTACGACCGACATAGAAAGCTACTGAGGGATAACATCACCAAGACCTACAAAACAACTGAGCTGGCGACCGTCGATAACATCAACGCGGAAATCATCAAAGGTACATATACAGTGTTTAAATAAGGACATGATGGAACATCGTAGGCTACCCTGTAGCTTTTCAACGAATAAAGTCCATGTAATATACCATGTGCAACAAAATACAATTAGATGTGTTAAACATTTCATGAAAACAGACCTCCTGGAAATGGCTTCTCCCAAATTGGGACCCCTGTGTCTGTAAGCATCAATTATTCATAATCAGTGACTACTGTATGTCAATTAATGGTTACACAGGGTACAGCAACCAACAACACAAATTATTTAATGACAACCTACCTGGTAATAGTCATCAAATGTTTCATTTGCTTCAGATTCTTTAGCAAAGCTATATGAGCCATATTCAGCAACAAGCTCATCAAAGCGTTCAATGCTGCCAACTGTCTCAGGAACTGTATAATAGTTACGATCTTCATCTGAGAAAAAAATAAAGAGGAAATTATAATGGGATACAAGACTGGCAAAGGAAATAAAAGAACAATATGAAAATAATCAATACCAAGTAATAAAATAATAAAAGCAAAAAAAATAAAGTAATAATATGAAATTAATGAACTAGATCACAGGTGGGCAAAGTGCGGCCTTTTTTTGTAGCCTGTGAAAATTAATTAAAAACCCTATTTGACACCAATCATCTGTAAAAAGTAAAGTTAAAACTGAGAATAAAGTGGTATAAAAGCAGAAATATTCCATCGCGATTGCGAATTTGATGTGTTTTTTCATGTATACTCTCACAATTAAAAATACTGGGCCTAGGCCTACTTTACATTACAGTCAGTGTGGCAGACATTCCAAATCAAAATTTGGGCGACTGAATAGGCACTGCCCTGGTAAAATTTAATATGAATATATTATTTTTTAATAAGAGTACGTTTTGTATAAATATTTAACATAAAAATAATGCTAAAAAGAAAAGATCGACGTTTCGACTCCTTCATGGTGTCATTTTCAAGATCAAATGATGAAGTAAAAAATATACAGCAACTATAATCAATAGTAAAAAGCTAATCTACAATGTCAAAGTTCATAACAGTGGGATATTAATCCCTGTGTTAGATAAAAGGGTGCAGGTCAACTCGGCCACAAGTCAACTCGGCCACAAATCAACTCGGCCACAAAAAGTTTGGCTGCAGTCAACTCGGCCACAAGTCAACTCGGCCACAAGATAACTCGGCCACAAGTCAACTCGGCCACAAGTTATTTATAATTAAAATGAAATGTAAATACGGTATTACAGTTTCTGCATCCTTTTTCTTCATGATTAAAATGAAGTACAGTACACAGTATATTTTAGTAAAATTCTGATCATCGTCACATCATCGTGAGATCGTTGCATACATTTCTTCACACTGTACTCTTATTCAACAGAGAAAACCCGCCACTTACAGAATGGAATAAAATCTGACAATTGTAACATTAACAATTTAAGCAATCTTAATAATTAAGAAAAACACATATATTAATGTTTAATTTTGTTCACGTTAAAACACTGACATAAAACATGAGTACATACTGTAGACCTAATCATAAACAATTAAAATAGAAAAACCACATTATGATTTTTTTTAAATGTTAAAAATTTATTTTGAATCCGACTAAAATCAAATGAATGCATGATGGCATGCGTTTCAATACTATTTTCTTCAGAACCACGCCCAAGAATTAGGCCTACGTTAAAATTAGGTGGGGTGCAGCATCTGATATCAATTATCCACAATAGGAACAATTGGTATTGTTGAGTGATGACAGATATTCAGTCCTTCATATTTGTTCGACCATTGGGGGCTATGTTTGAAACCCGTCAGTGACAAGGATGCATCCAATGACGTGATTCACCAGTGACATGTCGGTCCTTTTCAAATATTTACTTTAATAATACTAATTAGTCATAATAATGATAATAAAGGTGATAACAACAACAATATTAATAGTAATTTTATTTTAACAATACTAATAGAAATAATATGGTAATAATAACGATATTTAAATATCTATTTTAATAATACTAATTAGTGATAATAATATTGAAGGTGATAATAGCAATAATAACAGCAATAATAAATTAAAGATAACGTTTATTTTTATAATAATAGTAATACTAATTAGTAATAATAATAATAATTATGATACTTATAATACTAGGCCTACTTAGTAATAATAGGGTAATAATATCGACAACAACAACAGCAGCAGCAGCAGCAACAACAATAATAATAATAATGAGAAAAATACCAATAAAACACCAATAACAATATTTTTAAAATTACTATTATTAAAATAATAATACTAAGACTAATATATAATAATAATATGAATTTAAAAAATCGAGAATTTTGTATTATTTATATGGTAACAATAATAATATCAGCAAAAATTTAAACAATACATAATGTTAATGCTAAGACTAATAATTAATATTAAATCTAACGGTAATAAAAACAATGATAATAAAAATGACACCAATAATAACAGCAATATTATTGTGGCCGAGTTGACTTGTGGCCAAGTTAACTTGTGGCCTAGTTGACTTGTGGCCGAGCTGACTTGTGGCCGAGTTGACTGCAGCCAAACTTTTTGTGGCCGAGTTGATTTGTGGCCGAGTTGACTTGTGCCCGAGTTGACTGTGGCCGAGTTGACTTGTGGCCGAGTTGGATCGAATTCAGATAAAAAGCTTTGCTTTGACAGAGTCACATTGTTTATTCAGACTGGATTTTACTTGTCTAATAAATAGCATTTCATGAATGAGACAGTCAAAATTTGTTCCTACATTTCTTTAAAATGCTGAAACATGACTCAATACTGCTTGGGCTGATATGATGGTCCTTAGCATGTTGTCCTAACATTTTTATTGTCATAAGAAATTCTGTTAAGTTTAATGGTAAGCCATGTACCAAGCTAGGCCTACTAACCAGTATTTGCTTCTATATTACTAGGCTCCAAAAGAACCTGACTTGGCGTTGTCTGTTGCTGTTGTGCTGCTACAGTTGTAGGCAGCTTCTGAGTCGTTTGTTCGCCAGCCCCTGTTTTCTTTTTATTTTAGTTTATGGACAGGACTAAAAGGATTCACAACATTAGGCACTTCATAAATCTAGGATATTATTATTAACATCTATACACTGTACTTGTGTGCATTCATAGCAGGATAGCTTGGCCTAGCAACGAAATATTCCATCTCGAAGTACTGTAGTAAAATGACCCCAGCTTTCAACTTTTTTGCACACGAGATGCAAAAAATCACTATAGGCACTATATTGATATAGTGATCAATCTTTATTAGGAAAATTTAGAGCAAATAAAAAGTAATGATGTCACTCTGACTTGTAATATCAAAGAGTCGTTGTTGTAATTGGAAATAAATGAAATAAAATATAGCTTACTTTACTCTATATTTATTCCAATTAATTCTAATCACAACAACTATTTGATATATACTTGTTTTAACTTTATTCATTTATTTTTACCTTTCATATTTACCATTTATATTTATCATTTTATATTTATCATTATTTTATCCTTATATTTATCATTTATTTATGTCAATTTCATAAGCAAACTTATAAGATAATAAAGGAATTTTTAAAAGATGTCTTACAATTATCAACAGCAATACAGAAAAGTCCACCAACAATCTCAGTCTTCACCTCGTTGTTGTTGACATTGTAAATCGTCTCACGTGAGAAACATACTCTGTCTTCATTGCTTAATATAATAAATAAAAAAAGTAATATGTAAAGATTAATAATATAATAAGTACCAACATGGATTTGTAATTAATCATAACATTTGCTTTTTATTTATCAATCTTTTAATATTTTTACAGTGCAATTCAAGGAAGTTAATTCTCAATTTTACCATGTTGTATTTTTGTCCAATAAATTACTTTTACTTTTTTACGGACTTACAAATAAAGAACTTGATTTACATGAAATTACAAAGTTTTTTTCTTTTTTGGAACCTGCAAAAAGAAGACACTTACTTTGCTACTTCATCAGCACAGAAGCTAAATGTTAGAATGTCGTCAGCCGAGCAATCAGGATCACAGCAGCAGTTGACGTCACAAGCGTTGCCAGTTAAGTCACAAGTGCAAGGACCAATGTCTTATAAATAAACCATAATCATAATGATTGAACTTAGGAAAACATTTATATTTACTCAAGAACAATTATATTTAATAATAAAAATTATATAGACTTCTATAGCACCAGTGTTCACCATTCAGTGCTCACCCAGGCTTGAAAAAAAAACGGGAAAAATAAAGAAAACGAGGTTTGGAACTAGAGTTCGTCAAGCCTGAATTTAGTCAGTGAATGGTTGAAGATCGGCCATTCATGACCAAATCTCTGCCTTTGTAAGATATGATATTTATAAAGAACTTCCCTTTAAAGGATGACAGCACAAAGTAAGTCAAAGTCTGAGTATTGAGTAACGGGGAAGGGGGATGCTCTGGGGCAGCTAGGCCTAGATCTGCCTAACTAAGCAGATTTACACAGTGCACTGCATGTCTAAATTGATGCATTTATCTCTAGGCCTAGATATTATTAGGCCTTATGCTGTGCACCTTGCCTACTACTAGGGGGGCCTATATTATATAGTATATTCCAAATGATATTCTTTTTTATTGTCATAAATAAGGAATTCTGTTAATTTTAATGTTGAGCCATGAACCAAGCTAGGCCTACTAACCAGTATTTGCTTCTATATTACTAGGCTCCAAAGGAACCTGACTTGGCGTTGTCTGTTGCTGCTGTGCTGCTACAGTCGTAGGCAGCTTGTGAGTCGTTTGTTCGCCAGCCCCTGTTGTTTGCTGGTTTGGCATCGTTGACTGGGCACTGCTGCTGGGCCTAGCTGTCGTTCCATTCTGGTCTAAAGAATTCGTAGAATAGGGATTGTCGGTAGAAGACATGTTGGCTGTTGCATTTGTTACTTGACCTTCACCCGATGCAATCAAACTAAACATTACCATTAACACATAAAATGAATAACTTTGCTTTGAAATATTCGTCATATCTCGGCTATTTTGCTTATCTTAGCGACCAAAAATGTTTATAAATTGCGCCCTCACTCACAATCCAATTGCACTTTTCTCTCCGACATGGTACCATTCTGTTGAGTAGTAGTAGTAGTGTCCTTGCTAATTTTTAAATTATTATTAAAGTAATCAACTTGCAATGAAGAAACAATAGAAAAAATATCTTTTTTTTCGCTGATACGCACTTTGATGCGCACGTTGATATGACGATTCAGCTCAGAGTAGGCCTAAATTTTTATATAGACCATTTTTTCTTTAAAATGCTCCGCTGCTAGGTAGGCCTATACATAATCATATTTGCTGAAATTAATCAGGGTGGTTATAAGATAATAGGATTGAAAAACAATTGAAAAAATGTTGATAAAAGGCATGTAGGTGGCATTCATAAAATTACCATTATTCATATTTTCTACATCCCCGTTCCGCAATCTTTTTAGCCCACGACCCATTTAATATGTCAAGCACTCAGTCAGACGCGACTCATCGAACCCGAAGGCAATAAATGCGTCCGTCATTTTTCCCCAAGCGAGGGATAGCTGGTATTAGAAGATACTACCCACTTGTTTCTATTGGCAAAAGATACTATCACCCACAAATCAATTTAAAACCCATAAAAATTGAAATATAACTTTGAATTACTAATTTAACAAAACCACGTAAGTTATCAAATTTTCGAATAAGAATTAATGATTTACAGACATTTTACTATACATAAAATCCTACATTTGCTGCCAGAAGTCTATGGGTTATGCGAAGACATAGACACATTTTGAAACATTTTAAAAGCCAAACACAGTTGAAATGAACAAAACTAATACTTTCAGGTTGTCATAGCTTAAGTACGCCTACAAATGTTTCGATAGTACTGTACATTTTTTTACATGAAAGTCTGATCGCACGCATTACAAAGTAAACTGACGCACATACCACACTTTAATTGTACTTTCGTTTACCATAATTTAATTTTGTTTGTCCTCGTTCACAAAAAGCAATGTTTTCACTATCTAAAGAGATTATGCGACCTATCTAATTTTTTCCGCGACTCAAACGTCGCGACCCATAGGTTGTAGAACGGTGATTAATGGGTTATGCGAAGACACAGACATATTTAATTGAAGAGAAAAATGTTTTTTCTTTGTGATTTTCAATTGTGAGTCATACACACTGAAATGAACAAAATTAACACTTTCAGATTGAACGATGTTCTACACGTAGGTTATTAGCATAATTAGCATACATATGTCAATTAATTAAAATATCAGGTGCATATACAACTGTGACAAACGAACAATAATTGTCAATCCGAAAATGAATGTTTTATGACTCTTCATTAGCGTCTGGAGTTGATGTCAAAGGATTGCAATGAAAACAATGTTGGCAGTTTATGGCTGTATAAACTCTCCAGCTGTTCGATCTTTTAATTACTTGGATTCAAAATCGAATTCAAAACTGCCTATGGTGTACTGGGAAATTTGTATGACGCCATCCATGGCCGAGCTTCACCATTTTTGTTTTCTATCTTGCAACTGCAGGTAGATTCTCCTATACCTATTTTTAATGAACTGCAAATACATAGGAAACTCGTTTTGAAGAGCATTCCAACTTTCAGAAATTGGAATACGGAAGGAAAAAGGAAAATCTTCTGAAATTTAAAAGTAAGCGGTCAAAAGTACCTGGATCATTCAAATGTAGAAAGTAAGGCATACAGAGCTATGCCTATTCTGAATGTTATGTCTTGCAGAGATATTGCTGATGTAAATATTGCTGTAGATGTACATTGCTAGACTTTTTCATATTTCTCCAGGATGAATCTCGTAATTGATATGGCCCTGTCTGTGTACAATGAAAGGGATAAAAGAACAGACGCCGTACCGAGCAACAGAAGTGGCCCCAGTCACCGACATTTGAAGATCCTATTCGGTAAGTCTGTTTGAGTTGACTTTTGCAAAAGGATGGGTGTTGGGAGGATGCAGTGGTGGGGCCAGTGAGGGTGGGGAGCAGGAGGAATTGTTCTCTCTGTCGGACAGGCCCGGACGCGCCCCCCCCCCTTTGTAGTCCGACGCCACGACTAGGTTATCGGATCAAAAATAAAAATATTACAGTAATTTAAGTAACGTTATTACGTCATCGCAATGATGACGTCAAGACCAGACTGGAAGTAACAAAATACGGTACGGTACTCGGTTGAAAAAGATCGCAGATTGTGATCCAAAGGTCCAGGTAGATACCGATGTTATTTTGGTTCATGCCTCGTAGGCAGGATTTTTAGGGGGACACCCCCCCCCCCCAGGAAAATACATATGAGACTCCAAAAATCGATTAAATGAGCCTTTCAAAAGCCTGTCTGAACTTCGGGGTCCCCTCTCTCTGGGTCTTTTCCGTGGGGTTTTGGCGGCCATTTCATCATATACAACTTACTGTAGTTTATATTGCCGTCTCTTTTAAACCACTTTAAAATATTTATACCGAGTAATAGCATTTTTATATGGATTGCTATCAACAAAATAATTCTTATATTTGCTTTTACAAGACCAACAAACGCACTAATTCATAATTTCTGTATAAAAGTACACACGTCTGCACATTCCATGTTATGAAATATATTAACAATTTTGTTGGTAACTGGTTTTACCATATTGGCATATTGTTTTATTTTATATTGTTTCGATATTTGTTGATACATAATTTATTAAAAATGTATGCAATTAAGCTTTTGTCGTGTTGCCTCTTTTTATTTTATTTTAATATAACGATTTTAATGTTTTGAACTTTTTAATTAGAAATTAACTCATAGTACAACCTCTTTGATTCTAATGAGCTCATGATGTTATATATTTCATTGTTTTATGATGAAATGAATGAAGATAGAATTGAATGAAATATAGGCCCTATACTGTTTTAAAACATCATATAAAAACTACAAAGAGTTTACTTAAAGGAACAATTAAATTACTTTTACCACAGGGGCAGGAGTAGTAGTAGGAAACGCAGAGGAAAACAAAGACGAATCTGAAGAGAAGGCTGGAGAGGATGAGGAGAATGAGAAGGAAGGAGATGAAGATGATGAGGAAGATGCAAACCATGAACCTAATGATGGTAAAACAAATGAGGTAGAGTACTTTTCTCTTACCACAACATCTTTCTAAAAAAGATAAGTTAAATAATTCTTCGCTATTTAATAATACATTGGAAGAATATTTTGACTTTGTCCACAACGAAATCGTTAGAGGGCCAATTTTTGTGATATTTTGATTGGCGACGCGATCCTGCGCACCCTATCACAAATTGATCTTGTAGTTTGTAAGAAAAAATAGGAAAGAAAAAGAAATTATTGATAACCCAACAAAATGGCTACAGTTATTTTCGGAAATCTAGGGTAGTGTTGTCTGACGATTTCCCCCCTCCTTATTTGTACATCTCTGGATCCGCCCAGTGTGAATACATGCATGAATGAACCGATAATTCATACCGGTATGCAATTTTAGTTTCAGAAATTTTAAAAATAAATGGAATCGTCCGATTCTGGTGTTTGTAGGACATTTACTGGTGTAAATCTTTTCCCACTTTTTATTTTCTCAAGCGCCTTTAGCATTTCTTTAAAAATCATGAGCGCTCCATAGAAATCTTATTTATTATTGTTATTCACACGTATAATGCGTATTATTTTTTTACTCTAGAAGTTCAGCTGTGGAAGCCTGGAAGTATACAAACAAAATAAACAAAATGAGAGAATAGAGAAAAACTTGAATCATAAAACAGAAGAAATAAAATATAAATGTAATCATTGCGAAAAATCGTATAAGCGTAAAGGGAATTTGAGTCTGCATCTGAAGGTCCATACTAGAGCGCAGTCTTATCAATGTAAACATTGTGATTCGACCTTTAATAAAATTACTTTGTTGACAAAACATCTGAGGATACACACCAGAGAGATGTTTTACGAATGTGTGTATTGCAAGAAGAAATACAAGTACCATGGTAATTTGGAAAAGCATTTGAAGATCCATGTAGGAGAGAAAAATTATGAATGTGTTTATTGTGGAAAAAAGTACAAGTTACCTGATAATCTAAAAAGGCATTTGAGGATTCACGTAAGAGAGAAAAAATATGCATGCGTTTACTGTGGAAAAAAGTACACGTTACCTGGTAATTTGAAAAGGCATTCGAGAATACATAAAGGAGAGACGCCGCATGATTATGAACATTGTGAAAATGCGTTTAAAATGAGTACAAGTTTGAAGAAAAATTTGGAGTTGACGCGTTACGAATGTGAATACTGCGGGAAGAAATTCAAGTACAGTGGCACTTTGAAATGGCATTCGAGTGTGCATACAGACAAAAAACCTTATGATTGTGAACATTGTGGAAAGAAGTGCGAACACAATGATCATCTGAAAGAGCATTTGAAAGTGCATGCAATGGAGAGAAAAGCTGAACTTAAAATATATAAATTAAATTTATAATCAAAAAATAAATTAAAAAAAAAAAAAAATTGGCCTAAATGAAATTCTTACAGTATTTTGATCTCTATGAATTGAGTTAATGTTAATTATATAAATGTGTTCCTAAAAGATTTCAATTATGTGTGGTTCATTGAATTTATTTCGAAATTTATTTCACAACAGCCAAAAACAAAATAAAATCGCCACAAACAGGTTGCGAAGGTATAGGCCTACATAAACACTATTACAAGGGTGGAGAAACAAAACACGACACACAAAAGTACAAATTACATAAATATTAAAAGTTTTTTTATATAATTAAAACTTTCCTTTCAATAAATGAATAGTTTAAATGTAATTATATTCCTTTATATTGAAAATTTTGCATTAAATTCTGGGATTTTTTTGCAAACAGATAAAATACATTATATTTCTGGGTTTTTCTCTCTTGATTTGGTGACATTTTAACAATAATTTTCGTATTTGAATGTCGTCCAGTGCTTGACGACGTCGTTGGACCAAAAACAGTGATTTTACTATCCAAACAACCTTTTTATTCCGGGAACTTGACCGAGGCGCTTAGTCGGTCTTTATAGTTCGCATGCCCCCCCCCCCTCCTGAGATAATTGAATGGATACACAATTCCATAGAAAGGTTGATTCCATTGAAAGGTTGATTCATATCGCGCAATGCATAGCTACAAAGACAGTTTTAGCGCAGATGCACCAGCATGGAAACCTTTGTGCAATCAATCACTCTCTATCGAGGTCAGCAGGTATGTGCTGTCAGACAACCCCATGCACAGTGACCACAGTACACTGATATGTGTGCATATCTCCATTGACGACACCCCTTCAGTAGACTTACTCTTTTAATAAAGTACAGTTTTTGTGTAGACAACATTTGACACCTTTGACGTGTAAGTCTTGCTTCCTTATTGTTTTCAAGTACAGTACCTGGTTTAATCATATTGTGTAATTTAAAAGATATTGTATGAAATTGTAAAATCTTGTTGTCTCTAATTGACATGAAACAGTGGCGTAACAGGTGGGGGAGGGCAGGGGCAGACTGCCCCCCCCCCCCCTTGACGGTTTTTACCGGGCTGAACTAGCCGTCGTATCGGGCTGGGTAATAAGAGAAAAGAAAGAGGGGGGGAGAGGATTTTGGATCAATTCCAATTAGAATTAAAAACACCGGTGGACAAGGGGAAAATATCCATCTTTGGAAAATCTTTTCCCACCCCTTGATAAATGCCCTTTTCATCCCCTGAAAGTGCCTAAAATCCTCAAATTAGTAGGCCAATTTCCTCTAAAAATTGCACATTTTAGGGATTTGGGATCAATTCCGACGAAATTAGAATTAAAAACACAAAAACATTTACTAGGGTTTTTTTAGGTTTATCCTTTTAAGTTATTTAAACACATAATAGTCCCAAACTCAAGAAAGAAAAATTTAAGATAGATCGTTTTAACCTAAAAGAAGGGCCTCAACACTAGTCTCCCCTTCCCCATGTCAATACCCGTACGCCTACAGTGAGCTCAGTGGCGTCATGGAGTTTGTGGGGCCCTGGCCCTAACTGTTATTGGGGGCCCTAATATGCGAGGGTTAAGTTTGCGAGCGGAGCGAACAAACAGTTGTTTGGGTCAAGGGGGCGCGTAGGGCTCCGGTCGGGTCCAGGGATTAAGACCACCTAGTGAGGTCCGAGGTGGCTTAGCCCCTTTGCACTCAGGGCTTATGGCATTTATGAACTGCGTTGTCAGAGAACAAAAGAAGGGTCCACGACTAATGAAATATTTCAGACAATTTTATGATAAAACCAACATAGACTACATACGGTAATTTATAGCCAATTTCCGGAACTGGTATAGGCCTATATAGTAGGCATATGTACTCTATACGTAAATATATATTGTACAGAGAATTTTTTTAGTGAGAAACAAAACATGTTTTAAAAATGTATATACAAACTGATAACGCGCTACATTGATCAACAACATAAACAAAAAACTGCAGTGACCGTTTAAATGAGCCCTGAGATAATGCGGTTTCTGTATGATGATGCCAGGACAGTGTAATTTCAATGTTTAAAATTGTAGGGACTATAGTTTATATCATATAACAGGGCCAAACTACAATGTTGGGGACCCTCGTGTCTGGGGCCCATTGCGCTCACCCCCCCCCCCGTCGCCCGTCAGCGCCCGAGCGTGACGCCACTGAGTGAGCTAAATTCAGAAAAAGCCACACCCTTGTAAACAATGCTAGAATAGTTTTCCAAAAACAGAAAGGTCCTCTGATTAATAATAATATCTCAAATAAGATCGAAATGCACTCCATCGTGTCGGCATTCAATATTTCGACATTAATTATGTCATCATCAGGAATGAAAATTCATCCATATTTGCAAGCTTAATATGCACAAGTACCAAAAGCGAAAGCTCGTGTTAAATAAATAACATCCAAGTTAGTCTCAAAGTGCTGCCTTTTAATTTTCTTTGTATATTGTTTTGATCTTAGACTAACACGGCTTCATTACCACTTTTATCATTACTAAGCTTAAAAGATTAAAACTAATCAATAGATTACATAGGCCTAAATATAGTGGTGGTACAGTACATGTATTGATCTAGAAGAGAGAAAGTCATTGGTCTACCATGTAACTATAAAATTAGAAAACTAAGGAAAAATACAGTAAAGGCCCTATTTAAGAAATTAATTACAAGTTTTGGGTATACAGTACTTAAGTGCAGTTTTGTCGATGCGCCATGAGCATCATTCTGGATGGATACCGGCACAAAACAACATTGTATTATTATCTCCGAAAGGAGATATGTTTTCAATCGTGTAAGTTTGTGTGTAGGTTGGTGCGAGGGTATGGGTATGGGTGTGTGTGGGTGTTGTGTGTGTGTGTGTGTGTGTGTGTGTGTGTGTCACGTTTTGGTGTTTCGTGTGTTTTTTTTTTGTTTTTGTTTTTTTATGCGTACGACATATCTAAAAAACGGCTGCACCGACATAATTTAAAATTACAGGGAGTGTTAGGTATAACCAAATGAAGAAATGTGATTACATTTTGGTGACGGTTCGGAGTAGGGTGTGGATGTGAGGACCATTTAAATGGTTTTAGAGCAAACGTTCTAGACAAGATAGGCCTATCAAAAACTAGTCAACTGATATGAATGAAAGTTTAGTGGAAGTTTAACCAAGTCACAAGGGAGACATTATCAAGTGTTGTTCACAATCCAAATACGGGGATGAACTTGAGAATCATTTAAATTTTTAACGTGCGTGTTTATTGTTCGAAGTATCTCAAAAACAGCTGCACAGATCTTAAATGGAAGATACAGGGAATGTTAGGTATGACACAAGGATGAGGTGATTAAATTTGGTGACCATCCGGAGTAGGTTGTGGATATGAGAACAACTTAATGGAAAACATCCCAGACCAGATATTTCAAAAACTAATCAACTGATATGAATGAAAATTTCGTAAAAGCTTAATCAAGGTAGGCCTACAAGGAAGAAATTATGAAGTGTCGGTGACGATTCAAATTCGGCTGCAGTGCATTTGAGGGCCAAAAGAAGCCAGAACATGTCAGGAATTGGCAGCTGATACAACAAAAAGCGTTCGAAAAGTGAAGTGATTATCTTTTAGCGTCGATTGTGGAGCATTCAAAGCAAAACGTCGCAGATCAGATATCTCAAAAACTAAATAACTCATGAATGAAACTTTCATGTTAGTGTATTTTAAAGTAGATTGTGGTTGGTGGTTGGGAAGTAGAAACATACAGTATTTTGAGGATTTTTTTAATAGAAATAAATTGGCGGTAGGAGGAGATCTGTCTCTTATACACATCTAGATGTGTATAAGAGACAGGTGTGTCATTTGAGGGCCAAAAGAAGCCAGAACATGTCAGGAATTGGCAGCTGATACAACAAAAAGCGTTCGAAAAGTGAAGTGATTATCTTTTAGCGTCGATTGTGGAGCATTCAAAGCAAAACGTCGCAGATCAGATATCTCAAAAACTAAATAACTCATGAATGAAACTTTCATGTTAGTGTATTTTAAAGTAGATTGTGGTTGGTGGTTGGGAAGTAGAAACATACAGTATTTTGAGGATTTTTTTTATAGAAAGAGATTGGCGGTGGGAGGAGATATGCTCTTTACTGAGTGCTCTATTATTAGGCCTATTATTATTATTTATTATTATTATTATTATTATTATTATTATTATTATTATTATTATTATTATTATTATTATTTCAATTTTTGGGTTAAAAAGGTCAAATGCCAAGTTCATAGTCACAAAAATTCGAAAAAATAACACTATTAAAGATACTTATGCAAAAACATATAATGGACCATATCTGAGTGTCCCAAATGATCAGCTCTGGCAGCGGTGGCGCTGGATTTCTGCCAGAGCAGGAACGTCCCCGACAGGCGGGTGTCTATAAAACGAAGACCCAAAAATGAAGGCCCACATTTTTTCTTTTTAATTTTTATGATAATAAATCAGACTATCACAACATCAAATTTACGAGATTATTTGGACGTCTGTTTGTGAAATTATCAATGGTCTTCATTTTATAGACGCCCTAATGTCTACAAAACAAAGATCGAAGACCTGAAAAACGTAGACCTCCAATTATTTCTCAATTATCTTATTGAAAGTATTTCAAAATCATCATGGAACTATTGCCCATTACCTCTTTCATTATTTCATCGGAATTCAAATGAGGAATATCAAGAAATAACTAAGGGTCTTTGCTTTATAGACACCCTATGAAAAACAAAGACCGGAAACCCGAAAAACGAAGACCCACATTTATTTTTTCTCTCAATCGTGATGAAAATATAATTTTAAATCACATGCATATCCTATGCATATAACATTCTAGCACATTACAGAGGCGGAGCCAGATTCTCCGACGACCAGGGGTGGCGCCAGGATTTGCCCGACATGGGGGGGGGGAGGCCGAGGTCGCCGACGGTGGGGCAGATGCCCCGACGAGGCCCCGACTAGGGGTCAGATTTCCCCGACGAAAGCAAAGTGGGCGTGGTCGAGCTTCGATTAAAAGGTTCCGAAAGCGGTCCTGGGGGGAACCCCCAAATATTTGGACAATTTAAGGGTTTCAAAGGCTTATTTAATCGATTTTAGAGTATACTAATATGTAGAAAATACATATATTTTTTTTTCTCCCCGACGAAT